CCTCAGAGTTAACTACTGAAGAACCCAATGACAGTGGTGGTTGGGGGTGCTGAGACCTATTGGAAGCTAGACAAAGGCTTGGCTTCCTACAGACAACGGTGTGTTCAGGTTAGGACCTACCATAATAGAAACAGAAATAGGGAATATGACAATATGATTTCAAGAAATGGGGTATTACATTCACAATACCATATTATTACACTAACAACATTAACTTTGTATACTGTGTTTCTCACTGCAAAGTTCACAATGCTTCCAAATACTATGTTTTCTCAAAACATCTTTAAGAAGTATGATTTGTCATTTCTATGTTGAATCTGTATCTCTAAAAGGTGCAGACAAGTTAAACTAGACCAGAGTTTGGGGGTACCATTAGATAGTACTTTAACTGAACTCTTAAAGACTAAAGATTTAAAGCCTAAGAATTTTCATCTGGGATGTTTAGTTTGAAGCCAGTCATCAGATGGTTAGAAGTTGGGCATGACCAATTCTTCACAGTTCATTTGCTAAATGACACATTATAAAAGCAAGCACACTGAAAAGGATGTGCTTGTTTCCAAAGCTTCAAACTTATTGTAGACTGACTGTTTTATATTGGTCCTTGTCTAACCATTTTATGGTGCAAGAGGCTCTAACCACATATATATGTTAAAGACTCCTTGAAATGTTCTCACATTGGCAAAGACCAGAAACACTAGATAAAGAACAGAGAGGTTGTCATTCTGGCTCCAACATAAAGACCACCCAGAAGAATCCATATTTTACAATCTTGATTAAGATTGATTAATCTGAGATGCTTATTCTTTTTTATTTTTTTGAGATGCTTATTCTTACAAAATAGCCTAACCCTCTCCATCCAACAATTAGAAAACATGTACTAAACAAGTAACCAGATCCGAGAATTAAGAATAATAATTAAGAATGTTCAGTAGGGGGCCTCCCTGGTGGCGCAAGGGGTTAAGTGCCACACTACGAAGAAATCCACAGCCTCTGCAGCACGAGTCTGATCCCCCAGCCAGCCAGGGAGAAACCCACATGGCAAGGCAGACCTCTCCTGTCTTGCCCGCTGCTCCCCTCAGCAGTGTATTTTTTTTAAGATTTATTTATTTATACATACAAGAACTGGGGTACAGGCCAGAGATGTGGGGGGTGAGAGAATTCACCAGAGACAGAGTGGGGAACAGAATAGGCAGACTGACTGAAATACACTGCTGAGGGGTGCAGCAGGCGAGACAGGAGAGGTCTGCTGTGCCATGTGGATTGCTCCCTGGCTGGCTGGGGATTGAACTCATCCTGCAGAGGCTGTGGATTGCTTCATAGTGCAGTGCTTAACCCCTTGCGCCACCAGGGAGGCTCCCTCAGCAGTGTATTTCAGTCAGTCTGCCTGTTCTGTTCCCTACTCTGTCTCTGGTGGATCCTCTCACCCCCTGCATTTCTGGCCTGTACCCCAACTCTTGTATGCATAAATAAATAAATCTTAAAAAAAAAAGAATAATAATAATTAAGAATGTTCAGTAGGGTGCCTCCCTGGTGGCGCAAGGGATCAAGATGAAACCTATGAAGCTATCAACAGCCGCTGCAGCACAAGTTTGATCCCTGACCAGGGAGCTACCCACATGGCGCAGCAGACCTCTCCTGACTCACCCACTGCTCCCCTCAGCAGTGTATTTCAGTCGATCTGCCTGTTCTGTTCCCCACTCGGTCTCTGGTGAATCCTCTCACCTCCCACACCTCTGGCCTGTACCCTTGTTCTTGTATGTATAAATAAATAAATCTTAAAAAAAAATGTTCAGTGGGGCTGCTTCAGAATAAAAAACCAAACATTTAGAGAGATCCAAACTCTGATGACATAAAGTTAAAAGTAAGATGCAGGAATTGTAGTTTAGGTTGACACATTGATGGTATTATATTTTACGGCTTTGTCTATTTCATCTACCTCGTTGAATCTGTCATAAAGTTCTTTATAATAATCCCTTACTGTCATTTTAACATCTGTAAGGTGTGTGCTGATTTGACAATGTTGGACTGAGGAGCAAAATTGATTTGAGAAAGAAAAAGAGCAGGATTGGGGGCAGAATTTGAGGCTACTTTGATAAACTATATGCAGCCTTAAATTTTCCAAGAAGCATTCTGCCCCCACACACACACACACCTCAGCCAAGAAATACAGATGAGTCAAGGTGGGGTGGTGGGGAAAGGAATATTTTATGGTTCTAAGATGGGGCTGTTGGTCCTATTAGCTGTCCATTTGTCTGCAAGTTGCTTTCTCCTCCCATTCCATGCTCCCTGCCATCACAAAGCAGCTGCTGGCCAGGAAGCCTAAGGAAGGGGCTCCCTCTGGAGCTGATGGCAGTGGCACTTTGGAAAGTGCTGGCAGGGGGTGGGCTATAAAAAACAATTTGGTCTGGGAACAAAAGGCATTAATCACAGCAGTGTCATCAACCCTAGATTTGGATTGGGGAGAGAACTTCTTGGTCACCTTGGAAGCAGGAAAGGCACAGACATCATCATTTTATCTAGCTGTCTTCTCTTTCCAGTGGACTAAATGCCTTAAATAATTTAAAAGGAAAGCTCTGCATGACTGTTCTACAAAAATCTTTTTCTTTAGTAATGTCCTTTGTTTAAACATTTGCTCTTAATAAAAATGCTTTACAACCTGAATTTTTAAGGTAAATTAAATTTTTTCTAACAACTGAGAACTTTACATTTTTTGAAAACTAGTATTTCATCAGAAAAACACAATTAGAAAAAAAAAGGAAAAACATAGTTAGGAAACACTAACTTATGAACTATTTGGTAGCATGATCAATCATTCCATTTCCCCTAGGACTAAGGGGGCTCTACAGGTAAAAAACATTCATAATCAGGAAAATAACAGGCAACCAGGATGAGTTTTTACCCTACTGTCTGATCACCACTGGACTGTACTTATCAATATTGGGAAAATAGTTATATAAATGATAGGTTAAAATGATAACCTGGTTCTGACCATTTTCATTATACCAAGTAATTATTTATCTATGGCCTCCCTGGTGGCGCAAGGGGTTAAGACGCAACCTATGAAGCTGTCTGCAGCCTCTGCAGCACGAGTTCGATCGCTCAGCCGGCCAGGGAGCAAACCACTTCGTGCAGCAGACCTCTCCTGTCTCTCCAGCTGCTCCTCTCAGCAGTGTGCTTTATCAATCAATCTGCATGTTCTGCTCCCCACTCTGTCTCTGGTGAATCCTCTCACCCCCTACATCTCTGGCCTGTACCCCAGCTCTTGCATGCATAAATAATCTTTAAAAAAAAACAGCAGCAACATCTTACATCTGCCTTTTATTGCTTAATGTCACATTATTGTTAAAATCATACCCTAAATGGACAGCCATTGCAATACATTGAGCACCGAGGAGACAGCACCAGTGTAAATGAGAATCAAGTTGGCTCTGAGTGACTTTACCTTGCAGAGGAAAAACAAACATGGGCAAAAAAGAACCTAAGAAGTGAGAAGCGAAATGTCATCATATGCATTCTTCATAGAAAGTTGCTGGAAAAGCAATTCCACTCCTAGGTATTTACCCAAAGGACACAGAAACATCAATTCCAAAGAACACCTGCACCCCTATGTTTATAGCAGCACTATTTATAATAGCTAAGCTTTGGAAACAACCCAAATGCCCAAAAATAGATGACTGGATCAAGAAGATGTGGTACATATATACCATGGAATATTACTCAGCATTCAAAAAAGATAAACACATGCAATTTGCAGCAACATGGATGGCGCTGGAAGGGATCATGCTCAGCGAAATAAGCCAGAAAGAAAAAGAAAAATACCGGATGGTCTCACTCATAGCAGGAATCTAGAAAACTTAAATAAGGGACCAGGAAAATGAATAACTATAAGAAAGTGAAAATCAAAATCAACAAAAAACTATGAACAAGAGACACTCTGTGGGGGGTAGGGGGCAGGAGGGGAGGGATTGTGGTCAAAATAAGGAGGTTGCAATTGTATGGGGAATATAAAAATAAAATTTATTATTATAAAAAAAAAAGTTGCTGGAAAGAGCATTCTTAAGAAGCACTGAGACACTTTGGTCACCTTCTCAGAGTTTTTTAAAAAGTGCTTAGAGAGGCAGAAGACCATGTTGTTCTCTTTAAAGAGAAAAAAAGCTTTGAAGACATGGCAGAGGGAGACAAGGTCTATTTTAAAAGAGACTGAAGACCTGTTTCCTCTAAAAGGGAGACAAAGAAGAATCCCAATGCATCGAAGAGGGCTCCTTCAGTTTTTTGTGTTCTGAGTATTACCCTAAATCAAAGAAAAACACTCCAGTCTCTCAGTTGGTGATATTTGCAAAGGAATTTGGAGAGATGTGAAATAACAGTGCTACAGATGAGAAGCAGCTAAACAGAAGGGTAAATGTAAGATGAATACTATTAGTAGGCCTATGGAGGGGGGAAAAGAGTCATCAAGGCAGAAAAAGGCAAGAAAAAGAAGAAAAGGATGAGGAGAAGATGAGTAAGATGAAGATAATGATGATAAACAAAATGTTTCTAGTTTTTTGTCCTTGTCTGTAAAGCATTTATCCTTCCTGTACACAACTCATTACTTCTAAAAAACTGAAGAAAAAACAAAATTAACTGAAATGTACAGTTGTATAAGACTTCTTTTAAAACTGTACTGTGTCTTGTTTTTGTATAGTTAACACACTACTAAATGTGTCCTTAGCTAGCCCTGCCCTGGCAGTATTTCAGTCACTATGAAACTTGCATGGTTCACTATGGGTGTTATAAACTGGCATGGTAATTTAAAGCAGGTTCTTGTTGATGTACAGCACAAATTAGTTATAGATGTGTATGATAGTTTTTCCATACTCAGTTATCTCTGTCAGAGTTTATAAAAATTGTTTACTGAACACTACTTTGTAATTGGGAAAAAAAGCATACAGTAAACCTGTATTTTACATGAGAAATTATCTGTTATACAAAACACCTTCTTATAAAACTGATTTTAAGAAATAATTTATTTCACATATAGTTACTTAAACCCTAAGGAAATATGATTTTTTAAAAGTATATGTATGCTTTTTATAAGCTATATCATGATCTGTTCTTTGAAGACTTTAATAAGATTCTTCTGTAACTGGATGGTGACAAAGTTTAGGTTTGTTGGGATTATTTTTCAGCAACCAATCAGCTAGCCAAATCTAAGGAAAAAAGGGGGAGGAGGAAAATCCTTAAGTTAATAAATATTTAAATATTTTATTCAATATGCAGTACATTGATTAAAAGCTTAAAGAGTTTTCAAAATCATTTTAAGAACAAAAAATGAATATTAAAAATTGAAACACTAAGTTTTACATTATGCAAGATTGTAAACCATAAATCCACATCAAAAAAATTGAAGTTAAACTATCTCCATTCACAGATGACACAATCCTATATATAGGAAGTTCCAAAGGATCCACAGAAAGATATTAAAACTAATACATGAATTCAACAAAGTTGTAAGTTATAAGATCAACACACAAAAAAAAGCTGTCAAAATTCTTTTTGGCAGCAAGCAACAATCCAAAAAGGAAATTAAGAGGTCATTTTCATTTACAATACCATTGAAAAAAGTAAATATTTAAGAATAAGTTAATCAATTTGTATTGATCAACTTAAATTTAAAATATTGCAGACAGAAATTTAGAAACCTAAATAAATGATAAGACAGCTCATGTTCATGGGTAGAAACACTTAATACTGTGAAGACATTAAGAATTTAGTAATACCTAAAGCAATCTACAGATTTAACCCAATTCCAACAGTCAAAGATGAAAACAAACAAACAAAAATACCTAACAGTCATTTTTGCAGAAAAGGAAAAGTCAGTTGTCAAATTCAAAGGGAATTTCTGGGGCTCTTAAACAGTGAAAACAATCATGAAAAAGTATTTTCCAACTTTGTTCTTCTTGATTTCAAATATCTTCTACAAAGCTACAATAATCAAAACAGTGTAGAACTAGCATATAGATAGACATGTAGACCAATAAAATAGAATTTAGAGTGGAAAAGTAACATATGGTACCCAGTCCGTTCAATGGAAAAGATGTAGTTTTTTCAATAAATGGTACTGGGTGGCCTCCCTTCTGGCGTAAGGGGTTAAGTCTCAGCACTGTCAAGTTATCCATAGTCACTGCAACATGAATTCAATCCCCGGCCAAGGAAGTAACCCACATGGCCCAGTAGACCTCTCCTATCTCGCCTGAGGCTCCCCTCAGCAGTGTATTTCAGTGAATCTGCCTGTTCTGCTCCCCACTCTGTCTCTGGTGAATCCTCTCACCCCCTGTACCTCTGGCCTATACCCCAGTTCTTGTATGCATACATAAATAAAAATAAATCTTTAGGGTCCCTCTGGTGGTGTAAGGGGTTAAGATGCAACCTTTGAAGCTATCCGCAGCCACTGTAGCACAAGCTGTATCCCTGGCCAGGGAGCTACCCACATGGTGCAGCAGACCTCTCCTGACTCGCCTGCTGTTCCCCTCAGTAGTGTATTTCAGTCAATCTGCCTGTTCTGTTCCCTACTCTGTCTCTGGTGAATCCTCTCACCTGCCCATCCCACATCTCTGCCTATACCCCAGTTCTTATATGCATAAATAAATAAATCTTTATTTAAAAAAAGCTATTCAGAAGGAGGTATCTAAAAACCACCTCTAGATACTTAACTCTTTCAGAGAATACAATGTTTCAACATTAAAATATAGACAATATTTAATGTGAATAAAAAGATTCTTACATAAGGATCTGCTGGCTTTTGCTTACAAAGCTCTGTGAGTCCTTTTAGCAGAGTTGGTGTTACATACAAATTTAAATAGTCCTTAGCAGCCTGTCCAACTGGAATGGGCTCAACAATCACTGCAAATAGAAATGTATTCCCATTAAAGCTAAATAAATGATGAAATATAGACAAATAACTTTTAATGGCATTAGAAATACTTCTAAAGCTTTTAAAAAGGAAACATAACTAGATATATGGTACACTAGTTTATTAAAAAACACAGAGAAATGACTACATAACACATAAGACTAGCAAGAAATATCAAAATTCTAACAGTGATCATGTATAAGAGTCTGATTTTGTTTTTAACCATATCTTTTTCTACATTACCACCATGCTTTGTACAGTAGATATAATAGTAGTATGAAAAAGAAAAATATGAACACAGGACATGTAATCTTCATAAGTTAAATTTATTTTAACAATTAATTCCTGCCAAAAAATAGCAGGCATTTTGCAGAGCTTAAACAGTGAATAATACATAGTTCTTGCTCTTCTACTGAATATACACCTGAGGTATAATGATATTTGTCTATATAATATGTAAATATTCCTGCTTATTTCTCAAGTTTTAAAATATATTACTGAGAAATTTTATTATTTTCAACCTTGTTTGAACACTATGTAGGTGAATCAAATTTGTAATAACAAAGAATATAACTACACAAGAAAGAATGCATTTTAATGTCTTAGTAGGTCTTTTGAGGTTAATCTCCATGGATATGTTATTTTTGATAAAAATGAGAAAGGGAAGCTATTGGTCTTGTGTTTGGATTTTTAAAAAAGATTTATTTATTTATGCGTACAAGAGCTGGGGTGTAGGCCAGGGTTGGGGGTGGGGAGTGTTAGAGGATTCACCAGAGACAGAGTGGGAAGCAGAACAGGCAAATCTACTGAAATACACTGCCAAGGGGAGCAGCTGGTGAGACAGGAGAGATCTGCTGCTCCATGTGGGTCACCTACCTGGTCAGCCCCAGCCAGGGATCAAACTTGTGCTGCAGTAGCTGCAGATTGCTTCATAGTGCTGATGCTTAACCCCTTGAGCCTCTGGGGAGGGTCCCAAATGTTTAGATTTAAATCCTCAGTGGCCCAGTGGAAAGGAAGGCAGAAAGATAAATTTCTGTATGAGTTGTGTATGGGTTCAGTCTCAATGAGACAAAGATTAACAATGGGAGATCTTTGTCATGATGCAGGAAAACCTGGGAAAAACCTAGTGGGTCTTCAGTAAAGTTTTCTTTCCGGTAAAGTCTCTATTATAACAATTTATTTAACCACTATCTCTTGGATCTCAGCTAAAATGATCTTATCATTATCTCTTGGATCTCAGCTAAAATGTCACTTTCTGAGTCAGGCCTTAAAAGTCTCTAAGCACACCTTTTAATTGCCTTGTATGAGCACGTCCCACACAATGACACAGCAGGCCTCTCCTGGCTGGCCCTCTGCTCCCCTCAGCAGTGTACTTTGGTCAATTTGCCTGTTCCCCACTCTGTCTCTGGTGAATCCTCTCACTCCCCTGCACCTCTGGCCTTTGCCCCCACTCTTGTATGCATAAATAAATAAATCTTTTTTAAAAAAGTATATAATTTTTAAACTCATATCTACAGCATCAGTTAATGGGTAAAATCAGAGGCAATCTAAAATAAGAGTTTAAGAATATAAGACTCTGAGTAAGAAGAACACCCAAATATATCTTCTACTCAAGTTAGAGAATTTTTATCCAATTTCAGTTAAAATCCAAAGAGAAAATTCTAATTCACAAGTGGGGAAAATCTACAAAGCTATTAAGACATCTCATATTTGAGATATGTGTAAAAATAATATGGAGGCAGAAGAAGGAGCAGGGGTTATAGATGAAATAAGGCTCGCCATAATTGTTGAAGTTGGGTAATCAGTTTACTAGGGATTTATTATACTATTCTGTCTACTTTTGAGTATGTTTGACATTTTCCACAGTAAAGAGTTCCAAAGGAAAAGTAAGGTCTTTGACCATGTGACAGAGATTACATCAGTAAGAAGAAAACAAGTAGGAAAATTCTTTTGTGCACAAATATCTATAAAAAAAACTTTTAAGGGTCCTCCCTGGTGGCACAAAGGATAAGACGCAGCCTACGAAGCTATCTGCAGCCACTGCAGCACAAGTTCGATCCTGGGCCAGGGAGATACCCATATGCCACAACAGACCTCTCCTGACTCTCCCGCTGCTCCCCTCAGCAGTATATTTCAGTAGATCTGACTGTTCTGTTCCCCACTCTGTCTCTGGTGAATCCTCTCACCCTCCCGCACATCTGGCCTATACGCTGGTTCTTGTATAAATAAATAAATCTTAAAAAAAACAAAATTTATAAAAAAAAAAAAGAAAGGGAAAAAAATTAAACTGTTTCAAAAGATTCCCTGATTCCCTGGAGGGCACAATTTAATTTTGATCGAAATGTTGAGTTCTCTATTCTTAGCTTCAAGTTTTTAAGTAGCTAAATTTGAAAATATTACCAAATATATTTAAGAAAAATTACGTTATCCTCCTTCTCAATACATCTTCAAAATAAAAGAAAAAGCAAACAATAAAGAGATGAAACTGACATATTACTTATTGGTAACTTACCTTCAGGAAACATGAACCGAATTTCTCTTTCTGCTGCTGCAAAATCATTACTCCCATGAAGTGCATTCCTTAGGTCATCTGTGCCATAGATTGCCCTTAGACTAGAAGCAAGTTGTAGATGATGACCATTCAATCTGAGATCCTTTTCCTTAGTTTTTATAAATGTTTTCGCCTTAGAAATTTTACAGAAGCACTGTCATTTCTCACATATGTGATTTTAATCTATAGTTGACCTTTAAACAATGTACTAACCCCCAAATATTTGAAAAACTGCATATGACTTCTGAGAACCCAAAAACTTTGCTAACAGCCTGCTGTTCACCAGAAGTCTTAGGTAACATAAGGAGTTGATTAACAAATTTTGTGTCCTATATGTACATTCTTACAATAAAATAAGTTAGAGAAAAGAAAATGTTAAGACCATCATTAGAGAAAATACATTTATAGTAGTACTGTATTTCTCTATACCATAAGTTTGTGTCATCTGTTTAAATGAAATTTGCATGTAAGTGGATGGGCACAGTTCAAACCCATGTTGTTCATAGGTCAAGTATATTTTATTTTATTTAGGTCAAATATATTTTAAGTTTAAATTTATTAAGAAGAGGGTCAATCATTTTTAAATTTGTAAAAAGTATGCATTAGGAAAACAGAAGTCCTCTGGGTTAAAAGGAGACTTGTGGGCCTCCCCGGTGGTGCAGTGGTTGAGCGCTGGGTTGCAAAGCTGCCTGCAGCCTCTGCAGCGCCGGTTCGATCCCCAGCTGCTCCCCGGCCACCGGAGGAGGGTCCCACATGGCGCGCAGACCTCTCCTGCCACCCCACATGGCGCGCAGACCTCTCCTGCCGCCCGCTGCTCCCCCCAGCAGTGTACTTCGGTCCTTCTGCCTGCTCTGCTCCCCGCTCTTGGTCTGGTGAATTCTCTCACCCTCCCGCGCTTCTGACTGTACCCAGTGCTTGTATAAACAAAACAAACAAACAAATAAATAAATAAATAACATGCCTCTATAAAAAAAAAAAATTTAAAAAAAAAAAATAAAAAAATAAAAGGAGACTTGTGAGAAGTAAAAAACAATACACATTCAAAAGTACAGGGACTCAAATCACAGGGACTCCTTTTGTTTCTAGACATCTAGTAGTGAAAATGCTGAAAATTTGTATTTCTGGTCCTGTGTTATCAATATTCTTTTAAAATACCACACCATTTTTCCTATGAAAAAACTACTTCAGTGACATTTTAAATCAAGGATGATTGAAGGCTAATTAACCATAAATCAGACATTCCTGAGGCTTTTGTAATATTTGGTATTAAATAGACATTTACTAGTTAAAAATATAAAAGACCTCTCCCCCACCCCCCTCAAAAAAAAAGTGTTAGGGAAACTTTCAAATGAAATTCCCATTACAATGAAATCATACTTGTTTTTTTGTTTCACAGATGAATTCCATTTTACCCTTTAAGAAAATTACCTGTCTGGGTGTGTCTCCTTAGCTACTAAGCTATTACTTGGTCCCAAAAGTTCTTTCCAATAGGAGATGGCTTTATGTCTAGCTAATATCATGGCAACAAGTGGTCCAGAACTCATGTAAGCTGTTAAATTGGGGAAAAACATTTTCCCATATTGTTCCACATAAAAGTTACTACAGTGCTCAGGGCTAAGTTGCAGTTTTCTTCTCTAGAAGAGAAATAAACAACAAAAGCATTTAAAATGACAGTTCAATATTATCTCATGAAGTTTTAATAACTTAAATTGCATGAATCTGACTACAAATTTAAGGTTTGTATTTTTGTTTTAAAAAGGCAAGATAAGAAAGTTGAATATATACTGTAAATAAGATTTAAAAGAATTGGGGCCTCCCTGGTGGCGCGGCGGTTGAGCGCTGGGTTGCAAAGCTGCCCGCAGCCTCTGCAGCCCTGTTTGATCCCCGGCTGCTCCCTGGCCACCGGAGGAGGGTCCCACATGGCGCGCAGACCGCTCCTGCCGCCCACTGCTCCCCTCAGCAGTGCGCTTCGGTCCTTCTGCCTGCTCTGCTCCCCGCTCTGGCTCTGGTGAATTCTCTCACCCTCCTGCGCTTCTGACTGTACCCAGTGCACGTATAAACAAACAAACAAACAAACAAACAAAAATATATGCCTCTTAAAACAAACAAACAAATAAATAAATAAATAAAAGAATTATGTAACCTACTTAAGAAAAACTATTCCAGTCTGTCAGTCTCCCTTTGCCTATAGTGTTTTTTTGTTTTTGTTTTTTTTTTAAGATTTACTTATTTATGCATACAAGAACTGGGGTACAGGCCAGAAGTGGCAAGGGTGGGGGGTGATGATAAGATTCACCAGAGACAGAGTGGGGAGCAGAACTGGCGGATCTACTGAAATACACTGCTGAGGGGAGCAGCTGGTGAGACAGGAGAGGTCTCCTGGGCCATGTGGGTCACCTCCCTGGCCAGGGCTCTAACTTGTGCTGCAGACAGCTGTTCATAGTTTCATAGTGCTGAGATTTAACCCCTTGTGCCACCAGGGAGGCCCCTGTTTTTTTGTTGTTTTTTTTTTAAAGATTTTATTTATTTATTTTTGCATAGAACTGGGGTATAGGCCAGAGGTGTGGGGCAGGGGGGAGGGGGGAGTGAGAGGACCCACCAGCGAAAGGTGGGGAACAGAAAAGACACCATTGAAATACCATGCTAATGGGATCAGTGGGCGAGAAAGGAGAGGTCTGCCATACCATAAGTGGGTTAGCTCCCAGGTTAGGATGGAACTTAGGATGTCAAGGTAAGGGCCTCCCTGGTGGTGCAGCAGTTGAGCACTGGGCTTCGAAGCTGCCCACAGCCTCTGCAGAACTGGTTCAATCCCCAGCCACAGAGAGGGTCCCACATGGCACACAGACCTCTCCTGCCGCCCCCACTGCTCCCTTCAGCAGTGTACTTCATCAGTCTGCCTGTTCTGCTACGCGCTCTGGCTCTGGTGAATTCTCTCACCCTCCCGCACTTCTGACTGTACCCAGTGCTGGTATAAATAAGTAAAATCTTAAAAAAAAAAAAAAAAAAAGGATGTCAAGGTAACAACCCGAGACTTAACCCTTAGGCCACCAGGGAGGTCCCTGCCTGTGGTTTGTTAATGACAAATTTATCATAACTCCTTAAAGTAAGGGCATTCCAATCATCAATATTTTATAAATGTATACTTTGGATACATAAACATAAAAAAAGTGGACTGTAGAAAATTCCAAAACCATCTTTCCCCATCTATTTGTAATATTTCCCTATTTATTGAAATTTTCCTACATTACTTTTGGATACTGGTCTCATTATATTGTAGTACTTGGGGGCCTACCTGGTGGCGCAGGAGTTAAAGACAGTACTATAAAGCTATCCAGCCACTGCAGGGTGAGTCCCACACCTGCAGCCAGAAGAAACCCATATGGTGCAGCAGACTGCTCCTGCCTCACCCTCTGCTGCCCTCAACAGTGTATTTCAGTAGATCTGCCTGTTTGCTCCTCACTCTGTGGTGAAAAAGCCTCTCACCCCCTACACTTCTGGCTTACACCTCAGTTCTTGTATGTACAAATAAAATTTTTAAAAAATTTAAAAATATTGTAGTAGTTGGAAAAATCCATCTTTCTAAAATGAGCTAGATTTTCCTGAGAGACAATAAGATTTTACTAAATGACCTGCTCTTAAAGCCCCTTTCAAAACTATCATCTGTCTTCAGATAGCAGAACCCTGGTAAAAGTACTTGATTTATACAGAGGGACCCATACTGACCAGTGCAAGAAAATTGGGAAGATAATGTTTACCTTCATGAGTTAGCACTGCTATAAAAAAACTCTACTGGATGACTAAGGACTAGTTACTATATAAAAAAAAGATGATCACATCATTCAATTCACAGTCGGGAAATATAAGAAATTAGAGAAGATATTATTGAGTGTGTATTTCTTGGTTATGTTTTAAAAATTAAGACATGCCAGTAATTGTGATTCTTGTGCATAGTGATGTGTGTTTTTGTTGTGTTTAAAAATAAAAATCTTGGCCTTCCTGGTGGTGCAAGGGGTTAAGGACAGCACTATGAAGCAATCCACAGCCTCTGTAGCATGAGTTCGATCCCCAGCCCAGCAGGGAGCTACCCACATGGCACAGAGACCTCTCCTGTCTCGCTGCTCCCCTCAATCTGCCTGTTCTGTTCCCCACTCTGTCTCTGGTGAATCCTCTCACCCCCGCACCTCTGGCTTGTACCCCAGTTCTTGTATGCATAAATAAAATCTTTAAAAAAAATAAAAATTTCATTTAAAATTAATATAAATCCTTATCTGGCACATTCTCCTTAAGCAAGGGGCCCTATCTTCAGCAGATGTGATAGCTAAGGCAGCATAATTATGAAAATGAACAGCTCATCTTAAACTAAAATTGATACTTAATCAATGATTCCATTAGTTACTTTAAAATTAAATCAGGTAAAATTTTTTGGAATTATGATGGATAGTTTAACAAAGAGAAGCCATGTTATTAAATTAACACCAAAGAAAAGATTAGCTTGTAACTAGAGAAAGACTGCCACCTACTGAAAAGATACTTCTTTTTACAGAAGGTTTTCCCTAGATGGGACAAGAGAGGCACAAGTTCAATGAACTCTAAACTACATCACAGTCTTTTTAAAAGGACACAATACAAAGGACAAATATTTTATGATTCCACTTACATGAGATACCTAGAATAGTCAAAACCGTAGAGGCAGAAAGAATGGTGGTTATCAAGGAATGTGAAGAGAAGAAAACAAGTTACTGTTTAATGGATAGTTTCACTTTAAGATGATGAAACATTTGTAGAGATGGGTGGTGGTGATGGCTGTGCAACAATGTATATGTATGTATGTATTTATGTGTTTTTAAAAGATTTATTTATTTATGCATACAAGAACCGGATTACAGGTCAGAGGTGCGGAGGGTGAGAGGATTCACCAGAGACAGAGTGGGGAGCAGAACAGGCAGCTCCACTGATATACACTGCTGAGGGGAGCAGTGAGCGAGACAGGAGAGGTCTCCTGGGCCATGTGGGTCAGCTCCCTGGCCAGGGATCAAACTCCTGTTGCAGTGGCTGCAGACAGCTTCACAGTGCTGCAATTTAATCTCTTGCTGACCAGAGAAGCCCCCATACATGTATTTATTTATTTATTTTTAAAGATTTATTTATGCATGCAAGAACTGGGGTGCAGGCCAGATGCCAGGGGGGTGGTGAGAGGATTCACCATAGACAGAATGGGGAACAGAACAGGCAGACTGACTGAAATACACTGCTGACAGGAGCAGTGGGCAAGATAGGAGATGTCTGCTGTACCATGTGGGTAGCTCCCTGGCCAGGGATCAGACTCGTGCTGCAATGGCTGTGGATAGCTTCATAGGTTGCGTCTTAACCCCTTGTGCCACCAGGGAGGCCTCGCATATGTATTTAATGCCACTCAATTGTACATTTAAAAAGTTAAAATGGTAAATTTCATGTTGCATATATTTCATCATAATTAAAACAAAAAACAATTGCAACTAGGGAAAATTTTAAATATTAGTAAGCTGATTTTTTTTAAAGATTTATTTTTATTTTTATTTTATTTATTTATACAAGCACTGGGCACGGTCAGAAGTGCGGGAGGGCGAGAGAATTCACCAGAGCCAGAGTGGGGAACAGAACAGGTAGAAGGACCGAAGTACACTGCTGAGGGGAGCAGCGGGCAGCAGGAGAGGTCTGCACGCCATGTGGGACCCTCCTCCAGTGACCGCCACGTGGAACTCTCCTCCAGTGGCCGGGGAGCAGCCGGGGATCGAACCGGCGCTGCAGAGGCTGCAGGCAGCTTCGCAACCAAGCGCTCAAACGCTGCGCCACCGGGGAGGCCCAGTAAGCTGATTTTTAATTTATAATTAACATTAGCTATTTGTCACCTTTTTTTTTAAAGATTTATTTATGTATACAAGAATTGGGGTACAGGCTAGAGGTGTGGAGGGTGAGAGGATCCACTGGAGACAGAGTGGGGAGCAGAACAAGCAGATTGACTGAAATACACTGCTGAGGGGAGCAATGGATGAGTTAGGAGAGGTCTGCTGCGCCATGTGGGTTAGCTCCCTGGCTGGGGATTGAACTCGCGCTGCAGTGGCAGAGGATAGCTTCACAGTGCTGTGCTTAACCCCTTGTGCCACCAGGGAGGCCCCAATTCTTTTTTTTTTTTTAAGATTTATTTATGCATACAAGAACTGGCGTACAGGTCAAAGGTGTGGGCGGGGGGGTTGGGGTGAGAGGATTCACCAGACACAGCATAGGGAACAGAACAGGTAGACTGACTGAAATACACTGCTGAGGAGTACAACAGGCGAGACACGAGAGGTTTGCTATGCCATGTGCATAACTCCCTTGCCAATGATCGAACTTGTGCTGCAGAGGCTCACGGATAGCTTCACAGTGCTGTGCTTAACCCCTTGAGCCTTGTGCCACCAGGGAGGCCCAGTCACCAATTCTTTTTAATATACATGTATGATAAAACAAATGGGATATATATCTTATTTTTATAATTAAAAAAAAATTTTTTTAGAAAAATTTATATATGCATAGAAGAGCTAGGGTGTAGGCCAGAGGTGTGGGAGGTAAGAGGATTCACCAGAGACAGAGTGCGGAGCAGAACAGGTGGATCTACTGAAATACACTGCTGAAGGGAGCAGTGGCTTGACAGCAGAGGTTTGCTGGGCCATATGTGGGTTAACTCCAGGCAAGAATCAAGCTCAGGCCAACTCAGTTCACAGCAGTGGTGACTGTATGATAATGCTGACATTTAACCTCTATGCCACCAGGGAGGCCCTGTATACTTTTTAAAATTAATGGGTAATATGGGCCTCTTGGTGGCGCAAGGAGTAAAGACACTATGAAGCAATCCATAGACACTACAGAGTTCGATCCCCAGCCAGGGAGGTGACCCACATGACACTGCAGACCTCTGCTCTCTCATCCACTGCTCCCCTCAGCAGTGTATTTCAGTTAATCTGCCCCCACGCTGTCTCTGGTGAATCCCCTCACTTCCAACTCCTCTGGCCTCTACCCCAGTTCTTGTATGCATAAATAAATATTTTTTAAAAATTAATGGATAATATACTTACAGTGTTCAAAAATTCAAAGTAAAGAAACAAGGTAAATACTGGGAAATGTTATTCCCGTCACTGTCTAAATTGACCATGTTCTTCCTTGCCCTCAGCAGGCAACCATCTTTTAATGTTTATTTTTCTTCTACTGTTTCATTTTGCATATATGGGCAAACATGAATATATATTACTTTTTCTATCACAAAAAGTTGCCACATATTATTTTGCATCTTGTTTTTTTTTTTATAAGAAGATACAGAAAAATTCCCTCATTCTTTTTACAGTTAGTTGCATAGTATTCAAACTGGTGGGTTTGTCGATATTTTTATTTAACATCTTGTATACTGGGTTATTTCCTACTTTTTTGTAGTAAATAAACAATGCTGTCAAAAATAACCTGTATACTTGTCACTTATAGAAGCAATTCCCAGGAGTTGGATGCTGTGTCAAAGGGTAAGGCATCTATAATATTGACAGATTATTGCCAGATACTCCTCCATAAGGATTGAGTCATTTACATTTTTGTCAGAATGTATTTCAATGTTGTTAATTTGCTTTTTTTCCTATTTAGAGATTGAGTATCTTTTCAGTATGTTTAAGTAGCATGTTTTTCTTTTCTATGACTGTCCACATATCCTGCTCATCTTCTACCAAATTTTTATCTTTTTCTAGGAGTCTTTTATAAATTACACAGATTAGGTCTCTGTGATGTTACCATAATTTCAGGTTTTCAGGTCTAATTCCCCAGCTAGGAATTGATCCTAGGCTGCAGTGGCAGCACTGAGTCCTAGCCAACAGGCCACCATCCATTGATTTCTAACAAAGCTGCAGCAGGAACTTTGCTGACTCTCAGGCAAGCAAGTGAAAAGAGGCAAATTTGTTTAGAGAAATAGATATAAGGGGGCCTCCACGGTGGTGCAGCGGTTGAGCGCTGGGTTGCAAAGCTGCCCGCGGCCTCTGCGGCGCCGGTTCGATCCCCGGCTGCTCCCCGGCCACCGGAGGAGGGTCCCACATGGCGCGCAGACCTCTCCTGCCGCCCGCTGCTCCCCTCAGCAGTGTACTTTGGTCCTTCTGCCTGCTCTGCTCCCCGCTCTGGCTCTGGTGAATTCTCTCACCCTCCCGCGCTTTTGACTGTACCCAGTGCATGTATAAACAAAAAAAAAACCAAGCAAACAAACAAATAAATAAATAAAAACATGCCTCTATTAAAAAAAAAAAAAAGAAATAGATATAAGGAAAAATTTATTAAGAAGAAAAGGAACAGAAACAAAATAGGATTCCCAGGCCTATGGAACCTGGCCAGGGAGTGGCAAGGAAGCCCATGGAGTTGTGCTTCAGGGAATATATACCTTCTTTCCCTAATTATTCTAAACACCCATCAATCTCTCTGTGATTGGCTAGGACTCGGTAGTCTCACTCACTCTGTCTTAATGTCTCTGTGCCCAGAATTACTTCTTATTTCATCGCCCTTATATTAGAGTCCTTTTTTTATTGCCCTTGTCCAGGAATGTCCTGCTGTCTCTGGGGGAGAGGGGGTGTTGATTAACCCCCTTTAGAATTTGTTGCCGTTATCTCTGTAAACTTCCTTATTCCTCTGGGTTTTTTTTTCCTATTTTATTCTGACCCTAAAAGCTATCTACTTGCTCCATGACCAAATGATATGAGTTGCAAATCATTTTTCCAAATTTGTCATTTGTTTTGATTATGTGTATGTTTATTTGGCCATGCAGAAGTATTTTGTTTATACTCTTATTAATCTTATCTTCTATGGTTCCCAGACCTTAAGACAGAGTACAAAACGATGCTCAGCTCCAAGCATAAACAAGAAATTTATCCATCTTTTTAGAATTTATATGGTTTAATTTTTATTATCTTTTTTAAAAGATTTATTTATTTATTTATACAAGATCTGGGGTACAGGCCAGATGCGCGGGAGAGTGAGAGGATTCACCAGAGACAGAGTGGGGAACAGAACAGGCAGACTGAGGAAATACACTGCTGAGGGGAGCAGCGGGGGAGACAGGAGAGGTCTGCTCGCCATGTGGGTTGCTCCGAGGCCGGCGGGGATCGAACAGGCACTACAGAGGCTATGGACAGCTTCACAGCATGGCGCTCAACCGCCAGCGCCACCAGGGGAGGCCCAATATGGTTTAATTTTTCAATATTTAAAGCTTATACCCATTTGGAGTTTATTCTGGAGTATATGGTATAATACTTAATAAACTTTAAGAAAAATGGATTCCTGGTTCACCTAACATATATATATATATATATATATATATATTTAAAGATTTATTTATTTATTTATACAAGCACTGGGTACAGTCAGAAGCGTGGGAGGGCGAGAGAATTCACCAGAGCCAGAGCGGGGAGCAGAGCAGGCAGAACGACCGAAGTACACTGCTGAGGGGAGCAGCGGGCGGCAGGGGAGGTCTGCGCGCCATGTGGGACCCTCCTCCGGTGGCCTGGGAGCAGTTGGGGATTGAACCGGCGCTGCAGAGGCTGTGGGCAGCTTCGCAACCCAGCGCTCAACCTCTGCACCACCGGCACCGGGGAGGCCCTCACCTAACATATATTTAAAAGCCATCTTTACTGATATAGGGAAAATATTTCCTTATATTTTCCTATACTATTTCCTTATATTTTTTGGTACCATTCTGCCTCTGAATTTTCGCCTGTCCTAAATGCAAATGAAATCCCATACTTTACTGAAGATTGAACTTTTATCTTTTAAAACACTAACTAAAGGGCCTCCCCTGTGGCGCAGCGGTTGAGCGCTGGGTTGTGATGCTGCCGGCAGCCTCTGCAGCACAGGTTCGAAACCCAGCTGCTCCCCGGCCACCAGAGGAGGGTCCCACATGGCGCGCAGACCTCTCCTGCCGCCCGCTGCTCCCCTCAGCAGTGTACTTCGGTCCTTCTGCCTGCTCTGCTCCCCGCTCTGGCTCTGGTGAATTCTCTCACCCTCCCGCGCTTCTAACTGTACCCAGTGCTTGTATAAATAAATAAATAAACAAATAAACAAATAAATCTTTAAAAAAAAAAAGTTTATTTAAAAAAAAAAAAAACACTAACTAAAAAGCCAATGTGATACTGTTCAAATGAAAGAATTAAAAACCAATAATTTAGGGCCTCCCCTGGTGGCGCAGCGGTTGAGCGCTGGGTTGCCAGGCTGCCCACAGCCTCTGCAGCGCCAGTTCAATCCCCGGCCACAGGCGAGGGCTCCATCAAAAAAAAAAAAAAAAAAAAAACCTAACAATTTAAATGAGGATGGTACCAAAAAGAAAAAGGATATTCAATTTATTTGATAATCTTTAACAACACTTTTTCCACATTCATTTTCAAATCTCTAGAATGTCAGTGTTTACCAACAGCAGACAAAGTGTAATGTTTAACCTTAGATGTTTATAACAACTGAAAAAAATACCAATGATGCTCCAAAAGTCCATCAGTAGCTAACCAAGCAAATACATTGTGATTCATCCTCACAGGGAATATCAAAAAGAAGTTAGAAAAAATGAGGTAGATTCAGATGTAATAAATGATCTAGAATGCTATCTGAGGGACTTTTCTTAAAGAAGGTCAAGAGAGGAGGAATGCTATCAATATTTGGGGTGGGGGGAATGTTTGTAATGTATAAAAAAAACAAACTCCTGGAAGAATAGAAAGTGCTAAGTGGTTGCCTCTCTGGAGACTGGGACTTTAGGGTTGGAGTGATAAGGTGGAGGAAAAATAGTTTTACTTCTCATTTTCCAGTCTTTCGAAGTGTGTTATAACTTTTACTTTTTAAATTTATTTTTAAAGATTTATTTATTTATGCATATAAGAGCTGGGGTTCAGGCCAGAGATAAGGAGGGTGAGAGGACCCACCAGAAATAGAGTGGGTAGCAGAATAGGCAGATCTACTGAAGTAAACTGCTGAGGGGAACAGTGGGTGAGACAGGAGAGGTCTGCTGCACCATGTGGGTCACCTCCTTGGCTGGGAATCGAACTTGTGCTGCAGTGGCTGTGGATAGCTTCATAATGCTGTGTCTATACCCCCTGAGCCACCAGGGAGGCCCCTGAAGTGTGTTAAAACTTTTAAAACCATCACATAGAGCTTTTGTACACAGAAAAATAAACCTAAATTAATGCAAACTACTAAGGATCTAAATATGGTAATGTCTTTATATAAACATAAATAAGGAAGCAGAGAGAAAAAAGCATGAGCAGCATGCCCAGAAGTTACCTGAACTATGGTGAATCCAGATCTGAGAATAATATCTCGTATCTCTTCCTCTTTGTCAACAATATCTGGTTTGATAATGGCCAGAGTTTTTTCTACATAGATCTGAGGTGGGGGCATTGACAGCTCCATTTGGACTTTTCCGGTACAATTTAAGTTTCTTGACAGGTATCAGCTGCAATGACATACAAGCTCCTTACCCAAATTTAATGTAATTGTGATTAGGAACATCATTAGGTGCTTTTTAAAATTAACTTATAGTTACAAACTGAAATATTTTTTCCTATGCGTAGCCTCCCAGTAATATGAATTCGACTCTCCATCTTGAGTTTCCAAATCACTTTCAGAGAGGCCCAGGAGCAACCCAAAGACCTGGATCTGCACTCTCCGAGCCTGGATGGGAAACTCTCCGTGCCTTTCCTATGGTAGGTAAGCAGCACTGCCTTGCCCATCCCCGCTCTACAGGGACGATAACTTCTTTGCAGATTTTGGAAAGCAGGACCCCTTCTCGAGCGGAGCATTTCCGAACTCACCTGGGCACTAGCCCCTTCAGTGCGACCACAGCTTGTTGCTAGGAGACATGAAGCCCAGCTTAGGGACGGTGGCTACAGAGGGCCAATCCAAGCAGAGCGTTTCACAGCCTCTGGTCTTTTATCTTTTTAAACAGGAAAGGGAACCAGGCACCATCGGTTTTCTTCCTCTTGGGAATCTAAAAGCACTAGACAATTTCTGATATTTTCCTCATGATTTATCTTATTTCATCCTCCTACTCATTTGAAGGGAGCTTCAGTTTTCTCCATTTTATAAACGGTAAGATGAATCGTATAGACTCTCCTCATTCCATACCATTCCCTTTCAGAATGCAAGGAAATCCATGCCAAATACTTTCCTCATTTGACCAGATACTATCCTATCTAGTCCCAACTTCTGTAATAATTAAAAAGCAATCTTGAACTTGTGGAAAAAACATTTATTTATAAAGTTGTAATAGAAGGTTTAATCTAGTTATTTCTAAATTAAGCCTATGGGGGAAAAGGAGGGAAACATTTATGGCATAACCTCAAATCTCAGCTTTCCCTATTTTCTTTATATTATGTCCATAGGCACCTGTGACTTCCTGGTTGTGAGTCAGGCATTATTCTTACTAGGAGAGACAAGAAAGCAGTGGTAAACAAATATTGGGGCTCTTCTATGGGTTAGAATCTCAATGAGCAGTCCAAATTCCAGAAAAGGTCATAGCAGCAGGTCCAGATTAACAAAGCAGGTTTTCTTTGTCTGGCTGGTTCTCATTCCAGAGTATTTAAGTCTCTTCTTTTGTCTAACCAAATACTCAGCACCTAAGGGTCAAGGCAGATAGCAACCTATGAATCTTAAAAGCTAGAGAGTTTTGAATGCAATTTTATTCAAAGAGATTTGACTATACTTTTTTTTCTTTAAAGAAATTTCTTCTTCTAACTACGATGTCTTATCCCCTAAAGATAAGAGAGTGTGATCATATATGAATATCAATATATTATAGCAAACAAACAAAAAATAAAAAATGGATAGTGGGCCTCCCCAGTGGCACACTGGGTTGAGGGCAGTGCTGTGGGGCTGTCTGAAGCCTCTACATTCAGGCTTGATTCCCGGCCAGCCAGGGAGCTACCCACATGACGCAGCAGACCTCTCCTTTCTCACCTGCTGCTCCCCTCAGCAGTGCTTTTGGTCTGTCTGCCTGTTCTGCTCCCAGCTCTCTCTCTGGTGAATTCTCTCACCCTCCCGGGCCTCTGGCCTATAACCCAGTTCTTGTATAAATAAATAAATCTTTTAAAAAATGGATAGTGACTCGTCTCTGCCTTGCAGGTTTAATCCTCTGTTTTGAGGTTCTGGAAGCAGAATCTGCCAGTCTTTATTTGTCCCCACCTCCCTTGAGAGCTTTTCATGCAATCTACTTTCTTAGACGAGTTTACTTAACTATCTAGTAAAGCTGGCTCTACTGAAGGTCGAACTTTCAGGACCTTCAATCACCTCTATACATAAACTCTGGGAACACACAGTTGCTTCAAAGTCACCCATACTTTTGGAGACTTCTTAAAATCAATTTCCAGAAGATACATTCCTTTTTCTTGCAGCTCTCTACATACAGTACCTGAATCTGCTCCAATACTTCTCGCTGCATCTCCACAGCCATATGGTACACATGATGATCAGAGTCATTGTACATCACAGCATTTTGGAACATCAGCATCAAGTCCCGCTGAAACTGAGCCATAGTTCGAATCCGTCCCTTAGACAAATTCCTTTTCAGGCTAGTTAAGTCCATGGGTCTACAAGGGGTGAGGAAAAGCCAAAAGAAATCAAATCTTCTTGGAGAACATGAAGTGACCTATCATGCTCTCCTGGAGTACTAGCTCTTAATGAAAACAGTAGTAAAGAGAGTAATCTCCATCATATAATAAAGTAGTAATAGCAGCTACTGTTTGCTATATTTAACTGCTTACAATAGACCAAGGGCTGTAGCAGGTATTTTCTATATTAACTTGTTTAATCCTCTCAAGAAACCTATAAGATAGGTACCCAAATGACATAGGTACCCAAGCCTGACAACAAGCTTGAATCTAAAAAGGTTAAGTATATTCCCAAACTTACAAGCTTGGATTCCATTTCAGAGGTAACCTGACTCCAGAGCCCAAAGGCCCAACTCCTGTTTTCTACCACTGTAGGAGGAATGTTAGTCCTAAGTGCCAAAATTGTAAAAAAAGAACTTCAAAGATCACTTCACAATACTAGATATTTAGTCTACTTCTTCAATTGCACAAACCAAAAGCTAAGAATTTTTTTCTCCTTTCATGGATATGGAAAGAGTGAAAATCAATGAGTATTATGATATTATGATAAATAATTATTTAATAAGACATAAATAGTGTGTATATAAGAAACAGCAGTATAGAAAAAAGACTGAAATGTGAGGAAAGAATCTGGGGTTTAGCTCTAGCTCTGCTACTCACTGTAGATCACAGGAAAGTCATGACCACTTCTAAGCCTTAGTTTTCTCACCTATAGAATGAAGATATGTCTTCAAAGGTCCTTTCCTGATATTTTATATCCTATTAACACACTGGTTTATGACAGCATTTTAGATGAACTGTGCCATGATAATCCAAAATACTGTAATCAACCAATATTTGTAACAGCCCTTTGGATTATCACCTTTGCCTTATCATACCCAGAATTGCCTAAATGAATAAAGTATTCCTTTTAAAGTTTTGCTCCAAAAGAACAATATCAAAACTACCAAAGGCAATGTAAAATCAAGAAGAATGGATCATATATTATTTGAAAATCAAGACTGTTAAAAAAAGCCTGGGGCCTCCCCGGTGGCGCAGCGGTTGAGCGCTGGGTTGCGAAGCTGCCCGCGGCCTCTGCAGCACCGGTTCGATCCCCAGCTGCTCCCCGGCCACCAGAGGAGGGTCCCACATGGCGCGCAGACCTCTCCTGCCACCTGCTGCTCCCCTCAGCAGTGTACTTCGGTCCTTCTGCCTGCTCTGCTCCCCACTCTGGCTCTGGTGAATTCTCTCACCCTCCCGCGCTTCTGACTGTACCCAGTACTTGTATAAATAAATAAATAAATCTTAAAAAAAAATTATATCCTGAGTTTATAAGTAATAGAAGTAAAGAAATAAATAGGTAGGAAATAAAGTATTGAAAGAAAGATATAAAAGCAACCCACTCTACTTGACCCCTTTTTAACTTACCTTTTCACCACATCCTTATATCCTGGGGCCTGCCTTTCTGACACAGGCTTCAGAAATGGACTGCTAAACCTGTTAATGGACAAAGAGGTTATTTATTCAACCCAGAGAGGTTGAATAAACCCTGGAAGTCACTCTAAATGATAAGAGTGGCTGTGAACACAAAGCATGGCTTAGAGACCTGCCTGTGACTGGCAATCATCTTCCAGACTGGCAAAAGAGTCTTCTTAAATAGCAAGTGATCCTGAACAGGGTCAGTTGGACCTATATCAGACCTACGGAATAAACCAAGACAGAAAAGAAACAGTAACTTCACAAATGACATTTTGTCTCCCCCAGGTAGGTAATGAAGTTTTCTCAGCATATAGTGCTCCTAGTTAACATCTAAAGGGCAGGCCTTCCTGGTGACCTAGGGGTTAAGTCTGAGTTTGATCCCTGCCAAAGAGCTAACCCACATATGGCACAGCAGACCTCTCCTGTCTCACCAGCTGCTCCCCTTAGCAGTGTATTTCAGCAGATCTGCCTGTTCTGTTCCCCACTCTGTCTCTAATGAATCCTTTCACTCCTGTATCTCTGGCCTACACCCCAGTTCTTCTACACAAAATAAATAAATAAATGAATGAATAAATAAATAAATAAATAAACCATCTAAAGTGCTGTACCAACATAGAAACAAAAACATATTTAATACTTCCATAAGAAGCCCTTAACTCTAGAAGAATTCTCTTACTGATAACTATTATCCCATGAATTAATGACATCCTTACAAAGTATAATACAAAGCTATATAGTACCACAGGCTTTTTGACTCTTCCTGATTTGATCTTCAGCATCTGTAACTCTAAACCTGTAACTCTATAGAGCACCTATAGCTCTATCAAAGTAATTTTTGTTCACTGATGTTTCCCAAGAGTCTGGGACATTTTAGGCACCCAATTAAGTACCAGATAAATGAATTTAATCCTATTTTTATGAAACAATATACCTTATTAATAAGTTTCTCTCCCATATTTCTAGAAGAAAATAATGGGTCTCACATTCCAAGGGATTTTCTTATGTTTCATCTGAGTGCTACGCAAATTAAATATTTTCATTTACATTTCCCTCTGTACTGTATGGTAATCTTTAAAATACTTGGAAACATTAATTTCTTCTCATGGCCTTTCCTTTTGTGGGCTAGATTTTCTAATTTAACTTTTCTTCAGAAACAAATCTGTTCATTGTTTTATTTTGTTTTATAATTTCCCCAGTTGGAAAGTTTTCTATTTACTCCAAATTAAACATCATGTTATACACTTCCCACTTATAAACAGCATTATTCCCGATAAGTGGGTTTCTTCACAACTAAGCTTTCACACACTTATTTTGTTTAACATACCATACTGTGTGCATCCATTTGAGCATGACTCAAATCTCATTTTATCTTTCTCCAATTTGAGTGGCTCCACATAACTATTCATTTTCATGATGCAATATCTCACCTGAATCTAAATAAAATGCCACAAAAAATCAAGTGATCCTTAAGTTCAGAGCCCTATCAGTACAAGGAATTTAAAGTCCAACACCAATTTCTTCCTTTGTTTCTGGTGAATCAACCAGAATGAACAGACCTGCTGAGTGGTGCTCCAAAGGTTCTATTTCTCTTTACCTATGAGAGTCTATACAAACTGAGGTGAAGCCAGAAAAGAAGGACCTTGAAACTATTTATCATTCAAAGTAGTCTTTAAGTAGTAGTACAAGATGGTAATACAAGAACTCTGCTTTCTATCTCTCTTTAAACTATATGACCAACCAGACTCACTTAGTTCTATTGCTTTCTAATAAAAGATTTCATCTTTAACTTAAATTCTGAGTATGAAATTCATCATTCAAGATACTGAAATGTCATAGATAAGTTGTCCCAGTTTAGAGATGTCCAGTTTTTTTTTTTTTTTTTTTCCAGTCACCATATGCCATCTTCTCATACTTAGAGCATTGTAAAAAAAGCAAAGGAGGGCCTCCCTGGTGGCGCAGTGGAGCGCTGGGTTGCGAAGCTCCCCTCGGCCTCTGCAGCGCCGGTTCGATCCCCAGCTGCTCCCCAGCCACTGGAGGAGGGTCCCACATGGCGCGCAGACCTCTCCTGCGGCCCGCTGCTCCCCTCAGCAGTGTACTTCAGTCCTTCTGCCTGCTCTGCTCCCAGCTCTGGCTCTGGTGAATTCTCTCACCCTCCCGCGCTTCTGACTGTACCCAGTGCTTGTATAAACAAACAAATAAACAAATAAATAAATAAAATAGGTGCCTCTTTAACCCTTTGCACTCTGAACCATTCTGGACATTGGCTACCAGGTACTTGACGCTACTTTGCGGCGGAAATGTGCATTTACAGACCCTCGTATTATTTAGTATAATTTTGGAACCAAGTAACGTATTATAATGATATTGGACTTATATGAATTGGGTGACATCGAGGAATGTATATTTGCAAAAAAAACAATATTTTATTATTTATAATTTTGTACAATATGATAAGTTTTGTAACATTCCCCAATATGCATTGCAGGCTGATTAGTGCA